ATGCTCAGAGTGCAATGAAACATAACCTTATATATAACCTTAAACTCCAGCTCCACACTCTGCCATTAAAGTGAAAAACTCCACCTACTGCTGTCTCATGGAGTTGGAGGCTTGAGATTTTTAACACTTAACCACTCCAACTTTCACCAACTGTCCAAGCTCGGTGTTGCTGGTGCACCAGTACTACTTCAGTAAAAGATTGACTGCATACTAACAAACTGTGACACCTATTACCAATGACATGCATAACTTAGAATAAGAAATAAGATGCTGGTTAAACTGGAGAGCAACATGGTGCCTCATACCATTCTGTCACTCAGCCTCACATTCTGTAATTCTTCATCTCTCTAACCCACCACACAGAATGATGCACTAACATCACCACTGGAAATCACTTTATGTGTAACATCTGCCAAGTGAGGCAGGGATCTGTATATTGTAGTTTCACAGTAAATCTTGTTAAGCAATCTACCTTGACCAAGTGAGCTGTGTCAGTGTAATAATAAAATGACTCCATCCCACATTTCTATATATTCATGTTAACACACCTCCAGACTGAGGAGAACCCACTCGCGCAGAGGCATCCAGGGCTGGATTTGCAAATGAATGTAAAGTGTTATATGATCAGCATAATTTTATCCATCAATATCAGAACCGGATTATCTGTCCTTCACAATACATTTGTTGCTCTGGATTAACTGGATTTGGTCTTGGTGGCACTGAATGGTATATGTAATGTATACAAACAACACATGGGTAACACAACAGATTCATATTTTTTAGGCCTATCATCCTTTGGAGGCTGGCTTTACTCAGTTTTCTCATGTTTACACATCTCAAGATGAGCTGAAGTTTGGTTGGAAAAATGCATCTATAGTTGCATTATCTGGAGCAACTTTCTCTACAAATGAATACTTTATTAAGTGAAGAGTAAGTGTGTTATTCACCATGCACCACTATGACTTTATAATTTAGTACTACTTGCACATAGATCTATGTGTTTATTTCCTGTTTGCATACAGTTCTGTTTACATCTGTCTACTCTGCATTATTTCTGTTTACATCTGTTTACATCTGTAAGTCTGATCACTGACCACTTATTGCTCAACTATTTTTTAAATTCATTTTGTATTTTAACTTTTGTATTTAAATTGACACTTTTTATTATTTGTCCTTAATTTACTGCTCTATGTGCCTTTGACTAGCCCCCCATGGACAAATAAAGTGGTTAGAGAGGTTAGAGTGAAAAAATTGATGGCAGAAATGTAATTATTTTTAAATTCAATGTTTTCAAAACTACATCTGAGCCTTGTCTGTTCTGTAGGAGGGAGTTTCCCTTCACTTTTATTTCCTCTTCCAGGCCTGTCACTCACTTACACATAGGAACAGCAGGAGAGCCTTTAATGTGATCCAAGCCCTGTCATTACTGCTCACTTGATAATGCAACATGTTGCAGCAAAGGGGTGGCAATGCTCCTGATGGGAACAAGACCTCTAATTTCTACACATTTCTACAAATAGCTTTCAGAACATGCTACAGTATAGGCTGGCAGTCAAGGACAATCCATATTATATTTGACTCTCTCTGATTACTATATTCAACACTCTTTAAGTCTGGCCTTTTAAGAAATAACCTGTTCAAATCATCAACATATATAGCACGCTTTACAATTTAAATGAAGAATTTGCAACTTTTTAATCCAGTAGCTGTCGCCCGGATCACCAGTATGAAACCAACACAAACTGTTTGGTGACACCTCGGCTATTGTGAAGCCTCCGCTCTCCTCCAGCGGCACACCCCCAACCCTCTCCACTCATGTTCGCACAAGAAGTTATCAATTAGAACGCACTATAATTAAGCACCATTAAGCACAAGCGGCAGAAAAAATGTCTTTTGATGGAGCTGCAATTACCTGTGGCCATTTTTATGTTAGCTTTTTCAAAGCTATATATTGCACATTAATTGACACGGAATGACCGTGATCTAAACACACTTGGATGTCAGACATATGTAACATCCATAAAGGAAAGAGTAGGCTATTAAATTCTTCTTTTCTCTGGTCCTTGACTTAAACAGCTTTAAACACAAGGCTGCCCCGTCCATGAAAATATGATGTACACACGGCTCATATACAAATACAGCTGGTGGACTCACACTTATCACTCATTGTAAACAGTCAGGATATACTTGATTTCTGCGACATTTATTTGTAAAACGTTGCACATTCTTCCTTTAATAATTCAGGGTAATATAAGAGCAATTTCTCACTCATATGCACACTAGGTTTTAGTTTGTCCCACTCAGAAAAAGTGGCATTATCAAACCACCACATTTTTTCTTTCTGCACAGAGAGCCTTTTTTAAATGGATATGTTTTAGCCTCCCTTAACCACTGGTTCACAAGGAGCAGTGGAGCTTTAATCTACTGACTCATTTCATCAGTATGCAAAACTAAATTCAATCAGTGCTCCCCACAATAAATATGACTTGCCGTTTGATCGCAGTAATAGAATTAGGTACCTTGCAAGACAGACGAAAATTGGAAAGCGAATAAAAGGGTCAAGAAACAGAGAAGAGTCCACAAATGTTGAAATGAAGACAGCAAAGCATGTTTTGTCTTCTACCCAAAGCTTTGTGCATACACATGCCAGTGTTTAGGAACAAAGGGGATTCAGAAACTGTTGTGGATACACAGGTAGTCAGTAGGATGTTGGTGAAAAAGTGAGAAGTGAGAAAACAATAGTTTTAATATATGCTGTTAAAGAGATGAGATGGATTAAAGAAATACATTCTTTTAAAGGGAGCTTGCATGATAATGCAATCAGAATATTGCAAATCTTGATATTATTTAATGCTATAGATTACAACCTTAATTTATATGTAAAGTATATTTTAGGGAGGACATTCTGCGATGTGGCAAACATTTCTACAAGTCAATTTTTTTCAGACTCCAGTAAAAGCAACAAAAACATTGCACGGATAATACAATAATAATAATTGCAATCCCAGGTCTTTGAGTACAAGGTTTCTTATCAGTTCTTTCCAACCAGCTGCATTAATTAGTCAAATGTATCAACTCAAGCAATACAAATATTGTTTGTTCAAATTGATACCATTGCAGATGGAGTAAATGAGTGCACCTTAGTTGTGAAATGTTGCTGTAGTCTCAGAAAACACGATCCAAAGTGTTAAGAATACACAAGCAATTATTAAATTAAACAAAGATCAGATCACTTGCATTTAGTTTATTGACTCATTTTATGGACATAAACTTCCTGTTCTGTATTGATTGGATGTACTGGTAGTTGAAAATCACCCCCCACAGACCAACAAAAAGTAGTCACTCTCACGTTGGATGTGAAAGCTTTAATAGAAAGGACATCCAAACTAAACTGATTGTTTCCTAACCTGCTTTTAATTGAAAAGTAGCTTCACTCACCTGAGTAAAGAGGCAATTACTTCCTCCTGCAGCGACACTTTGAAAAACAGAATCACTACTGGACATTTCAGCTTCCACCAAGCCTGCAACTCAGTCTTTGATTCCCTGCCACTACTGTGAGAACTCACCAGAGAGACACAGAAACTAGAAAAAGCAGGACAGAGAAAATCAATAGAAGCAGCTTAATGTGGTAAAACCATGTTGACACTGAGTAATGCTTGATGAAGTGGAGAGCAGTACAAAGCCATCAGACTCTTTACAAGAAGATATGGCTCTGCTTAATTAAAATACAAAGCTAAAGTATATACTTGTACTATCTTTTAATAGTTTGTAAATGTTTGTTTCAATTATGTCTGTAGAAAAAGGTAACACCTGGGACATGAAATGAAAATAGAGCACTTTGAAGATGGTGGACAATAAAACTTTTGGGAACTGATTTTTCCTAAAGGATACTCAGAGCACATGCAGGTTACCAAACTACCACAGTTTCAGTATATTGAGTCTTAAAATGTCACCTAAGCAGACTATGTATGCATCTACATTTGATTTTTTTATAATAGCATTACCTCAACAGTGTAAAAGAAAGGTCCCAGTTACACATAAAGTTAGCTAACAGTATGGGAGTAGGAAACTATTGTAATGTTTTCATATTTTCACATTTTATACCTTTACCCATAATTATTAATTCACAACACCATTCATCTTATGTGTTAAGTAGTTATTTTTGGAGAGTAGTAAATATGAAGCAAGAACTACAAGCAAGCTAGCTTAGCTAGCAAACTATAAACTTCCTCGAGTCAATGCAGAAAATTAGGCCAGTATCTTTACTTTAAAACTTAGTATGGTTTTTATGCTTTGCTTTCAGAACCCATTCTGCAAAGGAGATATTTATGAGTTTGATGGATGATATTAGGCAGATTTTGTTATCTTTGGGCATTTCCAGGCAAGCTGCTTCCCCGTGCTTGATGTCCATACATTAAGTACACTGTTAGCTAACGGACTGATAGCTCCAGCCACATACTGACCAAACAAGATGAGTAATACCTATCATCTTATCCAGCTCTCAGCAGGAAAGCTAATTAATTTCCAAAGTGTCACAGTACTTTTTAGAACAAGTTACTTTAGGGTTATCAATAAACATGAGAAGAGGTTATGATAGCATAAAATAGCCGACTTTATAGCTCCTTAACAAGGTACTTTGACTCTTTACACTAAACTAATAGCCATGAACAAACAGAAAGCAATACATATTCAACTTGGCAAAGAAATAAAAATTGAGTAATGATGCTTAAATTTTCAAACAGTCCTACAATTTTTGCATTTTTGTGGAACAGGATTTTCATTGCTATATTCATATTGACCCCATTTGTTGCTAGTAATGAAAAAGACTATATATTTGAAGTACCAAAAATACTAAGTGTGCACCAAAAAAGGTTCTGAGGTGGGGACTTGACCCACTGAGACAGACGATGAAATAAAGAATGCATCTTGTATCCAGACAATGAAAAAACAAACAGAATATATAATATAGAATATATATATAAGAAAACACAGCAACCACGTCGTTTTCACAGATATGTTTTTATTTGTCAAACTGAAAGAGCCTTTGTTTGAAGCAACATCTTTTTTTTTAATTTTAAGCTGTACACAGTTTCTCCCTCTCCTCTGCAGGCTTCAACCTAACCAGCCTTATTATAGGTACGTTTTCTACATAGTGATCGACACTCAGAGTGAGGAGGTAAGAAATGATATGTGAACAGCAGACACAGAAACACAAAGACAGGATGAGATTCCACTTCTGCTCCCATTTTGAACCTGTGAGATGAGAGTTTTACAATGCACAAGACAATCTATGGTGAGTACAAAGTAAAGGCTATCAGATCTCCATGATATGCAACAACATAATGTGCCTGTGGACATCTTTGTAATACTGTACTGTTCAAACTCATACATCATGCAAACTTCCTCAAAGCTTTGTAGCAGCCTTCTGACAGGAAGCTGAACAACAAAGACCAATCAAAACAGATGCTGGCCAAGGTATTGTTATCTGGCATAAACAATTGTCAACATGAAAAACAATCGAGACAATAAATCAGGGAGAAATAGTCTGTTTATGTGTGTCATGATTGTGTCTATGACATAGATTCTCACTGAAAGCACGTTTTTACTTAATGGCAATATCTGGGGTAAAAGATCTCTGTCATCGTTATATACTAGATAACAACAATTCTCTGTAGTCTCCTAACTGTGCTTTTTATCATTTCACTGTTGAATTGATCCAAAAACGCTTTTATTCGTCTATGAAAATAAAAGTGGCACTGTATTTTCACTGAAGTTTTGCAAACAACAATTATTAAGAAAGCATTAAAGTCATTAAGATTTGTAAATGTCTTACTTTCTATTTCAGGCTTGGCTGTGATCTCACAACAAAGACATTTTATTCGACGATACAAAATCATTCACTAGTTTAGTGACTGAAAAACTGACAAGTGAAACACAAAGCGTACACGTAGACGTGGCTCCCTCTTATTGTACCACTCGAGAGCTTTGTGAAAAACTAGTCAAGAGAGTGCAGAACACAGCTGTAATCAAGGCCTTTTTTTAAGTCATGAAGAAGGTTTGACTCAGCTGCGATACTTCAGGTACCTATTTGCTTCCATTTATTTAACCAGACAGGCATCACTGTTTATTTACTGCAGGATACAAAGGAGCTCATAGAGTGGTAATTTCATAAACAGCATCTTTATCCCCTGAAACCTTAACGTGGCACATGAACATGCAGAGCTGCTGTCATTTCTAGTGAAGGACCCGGCACATCTTTGACATTTAATTACTTTATATCAATAAAGAGCAGATCCACTGAAATAGACACTGCCCATATTGAATCCATCTGTACTGTTATTACAGTTCCTGTTCATTGCAGATTTGAGATTATGACATGTATTTTTGTCTTATCTTGGAATACGCTCTCATTTCAAAATAAAGAAATTAATTAACAGTTATCATATTATATATCAAGATCATAAAAGAATGCTTTTCAATATTTGAATTACGTGGATGGGATATAAATAATGATCTCACTTATTTGACATTTATTTAAATAATATTACTTAGAAAATCTTTAAATATGTGGCCAAAAGATTTACATTTGTGGGTTTCTGTGATTGACATCTATCCTGAGCTTTTTAATTGATTCAACTTAGATCTCCAAGACAACACAAAGACATTAAAGAAGGATTTTATGCATCTGACAGCTGAGACCAATAAATCTAAATAAATAGAAAAAAAATTAAAAATAGAACGCAGAAACAATTCTTCCAAATATCTTAGAAAAAGTGTAGCAATAATTAAAAAAAGAAAACTCCCAATGAAAGCAATTACAACATTTCAACTAGAGACAGCCTATAAGCCTCAGTGTCAGTGCTGCAGCCCCACATGTTACTGCAGTGCTTGTTTATTGTCGCACATATCAGTCATCCTAGGTAAGCTTTTGCAGTGTGTATTAATGTTTCAGAACTATTTAAAAATGCACATAAAAATAGGACCCTAAATCATAGCCGTTGCTTTCAGGGCGGTTTTAAATGATTTGTCATAATATACATGTATAATTCACGCACCATGCAAATTCTTAGTCTTTTACATATTATACAATAGAATTAATAGTGTTTGGATTTGATGGAGTAATGCCAGTGTCTGTTAGGGTAAAAGCATGGCTTGATGAAGTGTAGTAATCCAAGTAAAAATATATTAGCTAATGTGATAACAGGTGATCTCTTCATTTTATTTTCGACAGATTATTATGCTATTAGGATGGTTAATCATGGCCAATGAAGCACGGCAGACAGGTTTCACATCTTTGTTAAAAAGTGACACTGTACAATAGCTTCTATGGCAACAATTTAAAACCACAGCAGGACCCCTTTCCAACTCTGCCCATAAACTCCACCCCTCCCTTATATTTTACAGAAGTTCATTCCATACAGGATGGTGACTCTTGAGAAGAATAAAAAGACAAAGATCACGCCTTAGAGGGAAACTAAAAAAGACAAAAGTGGAACCAGGGGGGCAGGTTTGAAATCATTGTACAAAAAGAACAAACAGCAACCCACCACAACCAAACACATTTTCTTGAAAAATCCATTGGAAATTGATTTCTTTTTACAGGTTGCACAGTTTATTTTGAAAAATACTGGGTGAGATAATCCAGTATGCCAAGGGACAGGGGACGATGGCGAAAAAAGATGGAGGAAAAAAGGTCTTCACTCTTCCTCTGTGCATCCGAGTATCTCTACACGCAAAGTGATCCTGCCATACCATGACCAGGGAAGGATCCGGAGGTGCCGAGCATAGATGGGTGGATCTATCACATTCTTTCTGTGTGTGTCGTTGTCAAAGTTCCCTGGAATACCTAAAAAAAACAAAAACATATGGGAGTGTTTATATCTGCAAGTCAGAAGAATTTACCAGAAAAAAGAAAACAACCGGGTTAATTTCAGCCTTCCAGTGTCAATGTTGCAGTCATATTAGAGGGGTTTTAAAACTCCAAAAATGTTAAACACTGTGGAAAAATACCTCCAGATAAAAAATGAAAGAAACCTAGTTGTGAACATTTCTGCCACATTTCTTCTCTGATTTTCCAGACTTTTACCTTGAAGGTCTCACACCTGAGCAGATACTGAATGATGTGCAGATCAATCAGAGGGTCAATTTCAAACAAAGCAAATGAGAGAACAGCACACAAAGTCAGCCCTTTTCTTTGTTTTTATACTTCTTTAATTCCTCACACGTCAGCACATCATCTGTTTTCCCCGGTGGGAAACTGTTCATTGTTAGAGCGGCACAGCTGGAAGGCCAACCCTCACAATTAGTGACAGACATCGACTGTTGTTTCTTTAGCTTACTGTGGGATGTTATTAGCATGCATCTTACCCTACCCTTTTAACTTCCTCAATAAAAGACAGGCTATGTTGAATGTTGCTGTAAAAGAAAAGCTCTTTCCCTCCTACGTTGGCTCTGTAAGACTCACAACATATTGTGCAACCTTATTTGCATTTTGGATCAACACACCTAAGCTGTCATAATGTCGCTGGTATCATATCACTCTGGGTAACTACTGCAAATCCGGCTGTATGAGATGGCTGGAAAGGGATAACTTTCAGTTAATGCCAATTCAGTTAAGACCTGTAAGACAACAACAGTTGTCAAAATGTATCAAACCAGCACAAAGCGGCTAATAGTCCAGATGGGATGTGTGCTCCACCGTTGGTTATTAGAAGCTTTGTGATGATGTGTGTTTAAAAGACAACAGAGTGAAGGATATTGAGATGTAATGTATCAACAGGGGCTGCTTCATCAAAGGGGATGATCATTGCAAATTAAACAGATATGATTATGACTGAGTAATTGGGATGTGATGAGAATCACTGTTGTGCTGAATGGAAAATCAGTGAGCCAAATCGGAGCAAGTGCTGGAGACAGGGGTTGACCTTTTTTAAGTACAGATTTAAGTAATTGTGTCTGCAAAGTAATCTTGAGGGCTGGTTTGGTTTAGACCGTGAAAACACGGTCCTGATCTCCCTTAATATTAAGTAATGGAGACAATGCAGAATAATGGTTTAGACAATGGTTTTAGAAGATAATGGTTTTTGTTTGGTCGGACAAAATATTTATACACCACTGATTCAAGTGAAAAAGAATAATACAAAATCAATTATGATATTAAGAGATCTACGTTTTTGTTTGGGTTTCATAGCCTCTACAAACTTTTAGATGTGTTTAATTGTAGATTTGACACAGAAAATCTTTGAAAAGATTTGAGTTGAGGGCTTCTTTAAGCACAAGGCCTGTTTAAGAACACCACACAACCTCCTATGCCCTCCAAATCAGATAACTGAAATTGACTCCAAGGATTGGTCACACATATTGAGTTCATCCACTCAGTAAGTAACTTGAATCTCTTCATTGTAAATCCAAGCAAGAACCTTATGTAAAGGGTTCAAGTTAGTGACAGAACAATGAGAACCTGACACATGCAATCCATTAGTGTAAATCATTTAGGCAGTAATCCAATCGAGAAGAAGAAACGTTAATAAAGTTCACAACAGACTTATCCTTCAACATGAGCCATGCATATACATGTCTGTAAACTACAGTAAATATAATGAAGGGCTTTTACATGATGGATATTCATCCAGCTATGAGCATTTTAAAGGGCTATGCATTTTTTAACACCACAGTGGATTAACTTCTACCACAGTTTCTGCACAGAGTGAGATTGAAATCACATCCATCATCATAATGAATGTGGAGTGGCTTATGAAATGTACAACATATTAGAGATACAACAAAAGTTTGAAGAAAATCAGCTAAACTGAAATATGTAACCCCGAAGTAACTTTTGTTTTCTTTACCCAACTATCAAAAAACCACAACTTTATCTTTCCATTTAGTCTCTAAGGTTGAGGCAAGGCATTGCATTTGTAACGTTGTTGCTACCACACAAAATGTAAACTTGTTTCTATCATAACATATTGATCCGTTGTCTTGGCTAAACAATTAAAAATAATAATATAATAAACAATGAACTATATGTGTTAACGCTTCTTTTTTTACCCCATTACAACATCGATCAATGGAAAACTTTGTCGTAATGACATTTAATAAGGTTAATAAAAATATAGGTCCCAATAAAGAAATGCATTACTCAAACTCATCTACAGCTCAATTATCAATCATGTGATTTACAGATGCTGCTATCCAGTAGGAGCTGGAAAGGTAAAATATAATTGTCCTCCAACAACATGCAAAGATATGACACAAAATCTAAAGTCTGCCTCTTTCTCATGTGTGTGTGTTTCCATTCATAAATCAGCCTTCATAGAATTATTTAGTCTGTATTGTGCTTTCTTGTGTTACTGTTTTTGGAGACTAGAGCTTAAATCATGTGACAGGTGTACCCTTTTGTTATTTTTCTTATTCTACATGTCTAATATAAACAAGTGGAGGCAACCTTTAATCCAACGTTCTTTTTCATCATATTCCTCCTGCAGTGAAACACATTCTCAGCCCTGTATCATCATCTATATTGTAGCACAAAGCGTAGACTCTAGTCAGGCACAGATTGCATCTGCAGAGAGGCAAACAACACAACATCAAATGGCAATCTGCAGTGTGACATTTCTACCTCTTTCTCTGTACGTCTTAGAGACGTAGAAACAGACAGGACTTGAAATGCTTACAATATTCAAGGTGTCGTTATCTAAATATTGTGTGCTTGAACATATTGAATATTCTGACAGAATATTCAGTGACCAACTGTGACTTTCAACTTTGATATCATACATGCTTTTTAAATATTTCCAGAGGCTTCTAATAAACTTCATGATTACCAACTCTGATGAGTTTCAGGTTGATGATGATAATGTCAAAAAGTTTGACTGAGTTCACTCTTTAGGACTACTTGTGTTTTTCATTCAGTGATTGTCAGGGGCTGACAGGCAGTAAACAGAGGCAAAGCACAACATGGACAGCAGTTCTTGAGACTTCTAATCAGCAAAAACATTGTAAATATCGTGATCACCCAGAGCATTCAAAACCTCATCATAATCATCATAATCAATATCATTAAGCATTGAGCTGGGTCTTCAGCTTTTTCTTAAAGATGCATAGGGGCTGATCGGATGGAGTTTGGTATTTTGTTCCACCACCGGGGGGCGACATAGGAGAAGTAAAATGTAACATGTTGTTGGCAGAATGAGCTACTGTAGAAGGTGAACTTCTGAAGAGCATTATTTATTGCACTGTATCGGCTATAAACAGCCTATGGATAGCTTGGTAGTCTGACAATATTTTACAAAACACTGATTTGAAGTCAAGACAGGCAAACCTCTGTTTTTCAACGTTCTCAAATCACATAATGAGTAATTCCATTAGTGAGATGTGTTAAAATTGTTATCATCTAAATGATCTAAATCCATGTGACTGATGTGGTTAAACAGGCAAAATGTAAAGTTAAAAAGTCAAACTTTCCAAATGACTAACAACCGCATCAATCATGGAATGAGTTCAACAGAACTTTCTCCAGTAAAAAAAATTCTGATAAAACAAAATTCCGAATTGAAGGACTCTTTTATGATACTGTCTGAGACCGCACAGATTGCAATTTGTATTGTACTAGCACAAAGACCTGACCGCTACAATCAGTTTTGTGGATACTATTACCTAGTGGCCAACAATGAAATTGAGAAAAAAAAATGGCTTTGATGCTGTAGACCCCTCCTCAAAATATATAAATGAATACATAAATCAGTTAATAAATGTCTAAATAAATACAAATAAAAGTCTGTAATAATGTTAATAGTTCATACTCAAATCCCTTTAGAAACTTCTTTCTGTCACTTTGTATGATCTCAATTGGTCTTATAGATTTATGGTTTATCAGTTCAGAAACCCAACAAAGACCAAAAACTCCCCAAATCTCTAGACCTCCCTGAGTTGACCTATTCTTTTCACTATTTATTACGTTTCAGAACGGCAACATTTCTCATTTGGAAGTGAGAAATGTGTTACTTTCAAGAGTGTTACCACAACTGTAATGTGTCAAGCAGGGCCCATCACTGCACAGTATAACAGCGGGAGAGGAAAATCATCGCAGCAGCGGCTGATTGAAATATGACAAGAATCTCAGCTGTACTGTGTGGGGAGCCACAGAGTGTCAGAGGCAGTGTGTCTCTAAAATAGACTGTCTGGAGCAGGATATGTGACAATTCACAAAAACTGTAATACTGGAAAAAGGAAAAGGGATTAGAAAGCTGAACAAAATTATCATCAACAACACATTAGTATAAAGAGAGTTTCAAAACAAAATCCAGGAAAAGTCTGCAAATTAATACATTTTATGTCATTTTGATATTTAATATATGCACTTGCACATCTTTTAACTAGAGGATTTATCTGTAGAGAATAGGAGAATAATAGTAAGCCATAATCCCTAAACACTTTATAAACATGTCTTACCATCTTCTGATGTTTCCCCCCTAGCATTTAAAGGTCCCATATTATGCTTTTTCTGGTTTTATATGCTCTTTAGTGTGTTTTCCAAGTGTCCTGTGCATGTTTGGCTCCTTTCCCGCATGTCATTACCTGCTCGCTCTTTCCCCGATTTTTGGCTCTATCCAGTGTCCTATCTCTTCCATAAAGGCACAAAAGCCCAAAAATAAATCTTAAATAAATAAATGAATTATTTGAACCACATTGAAGTTTCACGAAAATGATATACAGTACTTTGAGGGAATACATTTAAAAATTAATAAATATATAGATTAATTATATACTGACTGATAAAGTTGTGAGCTTCTTATACCAACCCCCTAACTAATGAGTTTAAGTTACATATAAACATTACAAACAAGGTTCCATGAAAAAAAACTAAAAAACAGAACACTTAACTTAATTTAATTCTCATTTTCACTTCATTAAACAGGTAAGCACAAAACACAACAGAAAAGTTATCATCCTAGGTGTATATTTAGTTAAATGTTGTAAAAGTGTTTCAAGTCTCAACAAGAACATAAGAAGGCTCACTTTGTTTTGGGACCAAGAATGTCAAACCTATCGTTCAAAATTGATTCTCCTCTCATCCCTCTCCTTTCTGTTCTCCTTCTCACTGTTGTCCTTGCTGTCGGTGTCTTGATGCTTTATTGCCCGGCCCCCAGATTTCTCATATTGTATACAATACATCACCCAGCTAAGTGGAACTAGCAGCACTGCGTTTTTTTAGAGGGGATAAACACAATGCCTTCCATAAGGTCAGAGTATGGAGTGTCACTTTTATCATCAAGGATGAGCCTCGAACAAAGCATAGCGTCCTAAATATAGCAGGAGAGGGTGTGCTGGAGGTTTTTGCTGCTTGCTTATCTGTTACTGGATCACAGAGTGCAAAGATGTGGGACTTATGGAGGGTACATTCAAAAACTGGTAAGTACATGGTATTTCATGGCTTACGAGTTTATTATATGACATCCTGGCAATCCAGAAATATATGTGAATCTATTTCATTGTCAAAGTAACCAAAATTTGGGTGAGTCAGAAAAACGTCTGAACTCCAATATTATCTTGTTGTTCCACATGTCTTCATTTGTAGTACACTACTTAAAAATGTTTAAGTGTCAGAAAACCAGTACATGCCTGCTCTTGTTTTGTCCTATAAAGTGTAGGTGACATGGGTGCTGGCTGAGTTGGTTCTATAACCAACAGAGTGGCTACTTTAATAGCAATAACTGTGCCTGGTTAAAATGACTGTATCTGCACTTTGGCTTTCTGAAGCAGAAGAAATGTTGGATTTTATATGTGTCTCAATGCAGCAATGACAAAAAAAATCAAAAAACAAGCTCAGTTTAAATGAGGCTGCCACAGCTGAAAAATCTGAGCCTGCTGTACCTGACCCCTCGGCCCGAAAACTGGAGGAAGATTCTCCGCCCCCTGACTGGTGGAGCCAATTGGTTTTATTTGTGCACACTGCCAACTACTGGCAACTGAAATAGTAAGTCTCACTTCGTTGCCCCCAAGTATAATTATTTTATCCAACAATCGAGACACAAGTGTATAGCACCCATTTGTCTCAGTGTGTGTTGAGACTGACCCAGGAGCCACAACTCTGCTCCAGACTATTGATTTTCCTGCCGCTGGAGTCTGGGGTCTGCATTACCAAGGGATGCCTTGTATGCCTCTAGAGATACAACTGCCCGTGCTCCATTATTTAAACCTGCTGCACAGGTTAAGGCAGCAGGTCACTCAGATCTCTTCTCTCTCTAACCCTTTGCCGGGAATTGTGAAACCAGGAAGGTCAAGAGTGGTCTACAGCTTAGAGGAGGCAGAACTACTTCTTCCAAGAGGACGGTAATACGTTCATTAGAGCACTCTTCTAATCTTAAAGTGCATCAAACCTTGCAGCCAACCTTTTCTAAATTCTCAGAAATGAAATATGATTATTAAGATTTAGTGTTAAGATCATTGTATTCACAGTTTTCTAACATTCAGTTACCCTCTGACCCTGAGGGAATTGAAGGCTCTAATGGCTAATTAACCCCGTGTCACCTGAATGAAACACTATTAAACATAAATCAATTGCTTTTGTGCTTGATTGCCCTCATCAACTGACTGTGTACATATTGACACCAGGGATAGAGCAGTAGAGCAAGGACTAGCTAAAGTAGCGACCCAGGTGTGAAGAGGGTGCACATGTGGGAATGCAGCCGAGTCAATGTGTATAATTATGGAATGTATCCCAGTTTAATTATGTTTAAACAAAGGACTCTGTTGTTACTTGACTCGGTTTACGAGAGCAGAACACAGGTATTTGTGTGTGAAGAAAAGGCAAACAAGGCACTCGATGGATTTTTTTGTAGAGGGATACTGTTGTGTGTGTGTTTGTGTGGTTGTGTGTGTGTGTGTGTGTGTGTGTGTGTGTGTGTGTGTGTGTGTGTGTGTGTGTGTGTGTGCCCTGCTTTGACAACATCTGTATTCTGACACAGCCTCCTCTCTCAATCTAGATCTAACTGCCTGCAGCCTCAGCCACACAGGAGCTGGAGGGGGGAGCTGAGAAGAATACTTACAAGCCTCTACCTCTGTGCCCCGACCAGACATCCAGACACACACACACACACACACACACACACACACACACACACACACGCACACACACACACAAGTTTGCAGTATATCCCTGCCAAGTAAAGCATTGTGGTGTGGCAGGAGGAGCCTCGGGACTCCAACAGCCAAATGTGTCCTCTAGCATTATAATGGCTGCTTCAGCTGACTGAAGGGGGAAAACACCTTGAAGAATCATACATCTGAACGGCCCCTCGGCTCCGTCAGGGGACAAACTGATTGACATTCTAAGAAGCCTCGCTAAACACGCTTGCCCACTAATATAGAGCACACACGCGCACACACACACACGCACACACACACACACACACACACACACACACACACACACACACACACACACACACACACAAACTGACTATCTAGCTTTGCTTTTTCTCCGAATTATGCAGCATTAACAACGAAGGGAATTGCTACAATCCTTACAGATAAGGTTTGTCTGTGGCTTAACACACATTTGAGATTTAAAGATAAAACATCAAATCCCGAGATGTCACAAGTACTTTTCTCTCCATTGCTTTGCTATCTCAGATCATGCCAGGCCTCCAGAGTCCTCCAGTGTTCAGAATTGGGTTTGCTTGAGTGAGAATCATGCTGAGCACCTAGTGGCCCGTAGCCAAAGATCATCACGAGTGTGCAAATTATAAACTCTGCAAGCGAGGAATCAGAACGGCAGGAATGGAAAAATATTTCGGAGCATCGGCTGCTGCACTGTAACAAGTACAAAAGCATAGATGATATCTGGCTATAGAGGGGTTTTATTTGCCCAAACAAGGTGCTATCATGTTTCAGTTTAAGGTTTACAACATTAGTGCCAAACAAAAAAGAAGCCCTGCTTACAGAAAATAATCCATTGGAAAGAGCTGTTGAGGTTACCACATAACCTCTACGAGCCAGAAAGAAGGAGACAGACATCAGTGTCATGACTGTGGGTCTATCAGAGCTGATGTTTTTATGTGTACAGACGGCAAGGCTAGATATCTTTAGACTAGTGGGTTCCAAGCAATTAGAAAAACTATCCACAAATGCTTCATGCCAAAACATTATTCTGAAATAAGGGTAATACATTCGCATCAATACATTTACAAATGTAGATATAAGAATGTTTGATAGAAAGTAACTAGATTTGAATACATTTGTTATCTATTTTTAATCAAATAGCACTGTCAGACAAATAAGTGTCTTACAGTAAGTTGCACTTGCATTCTCATGTTATATTTAAAGGACACATAGTGTTTAAAATTGGTACTGCGGTCCAATTTCAAAACATTGGAGAGCAGTCTCTCCCCGCTCCCTAGAGTGTCCATGCGCAAGCGGGTTGCTATATCACGGACACTGAAGCTTCAGTGTTTAGCCAGCTCTGCATCTGTCTTCAAACCGTTTTGTGTTGTAACCTCTCTTCTTTTTTCAAAGGCATCGTCAATATTTTTCCTTCACATTTCTTTTCTTGGAGCTTTTAAGAAGAATGCTGAGGCTTTTAAGGTCAGGTAGAATCAGTTACATTTGAACCAGTTTGCTTGCCCACTTCCTTTGCTGCAAAACCTGTTGGTTTGCCGTTGGGAAACGGCTGTGTGGGGGTGCGGCTGTGACAGACTGGCTGCTGCGTTGTTTACAGAGAAGCCAGTACTTCAACATACCATTTTTCATTAATGTCTGATGATATAGTAAAATAATTGTCTGATTTAATTGGGTAGATATCGTACATATTGTTCCTTTAATGGACAGTTTTGTGAGATGTTTAATGTCATCAATTCACTCACACAAACCTGTTGCACCTGTATTGAGATATTTCTACATCTGAATGTCTTAATATAACTTTTGGTCACAAAACGCTATTTTCTTTTTAATTTCTTGACAGTGCACATTAATCAACATATCAGCAAATGGCATATATGTAAATATGCCAGAATTAGCATGGAAGCTTAATACTGCTAATAGATGATACTTACATTGTAGATAATCATCTATATGTTAAAGTAAAAGACAGCTAAATTCCATGCACCTCTGCTGTATTTTCAGTTTTTGCAGTTTTTGGCAATTTGCATTCTTGGATTCTACTAGATCTTGGTTACTTGATGTAACAAATCCAAGACATCCCAAATGCATGGACATGCAGACAAAGCAAGCTTATCTGTTTGTGACACAGCACAGAGAGAAGTAGACACAACCTCTCTTGTGACCGGTATCTGAAAGACAAGAGGCTTCGGCTCTCGCAGTTACCCTGTGCCTGCAGCTCTCCTGATATCAGCACAGAGGCTGTTTCAGGCCTGCACTGTCTCTGTTGTCGTGGGCGATTGGAAGGGACATGCACTCTGTTGAAGGACCGTAAACAAGATTTTCAGCCGAGCACTGGCCAGAGCAGGTTGACAGCACGGTCTTATCTGATGCTAAACCACAGAGAGGCAGTAGGACAGACCAGGATGGCTCAGTTTGAGCCACAGATAAGGCGGTGATAAAGGGGAATGGAAAGACGAAACGGACGAGTCCCCAAATGGACATTTGATGCTGAAAACTTTTTGACATTTGCCGTTATGTATGTTTCCTGCTTTTGCTTTTTGTCCTCCAAGTGCTTTTTACTTTTATCTCTTCCCAGAATGCCCCTTTCCATTGTTGTGTAATGCATAATTCAACACTTGCTCTTACCGACTTATAAAGTGCCCAAAGACATGCATAAATGATTCCATTGTATATTTTAGTATGTTTGCTTTGTGAGCATGACAAAAAAGACAATTTGATAGTTGATTAACAGTTCTGTAGTTGGTTTGGTAGATCTGGCTTAAATTAACAGTAGGTACATTCCACCGCCAGGGGGCTCTCAATCAACACAATAACAAAAGATGATGTTGAGGCTGGCGAGGAATCATGGGAGTGATTCTCTCTGCTACTCTAACCCCTTCCTAATGAAAACAAACTCTGAGTTTGTAGTGAAGACGATTGGGCAAAACAAACATGAGGATGATAATATGTTTAGCGATAGAGTATCCAAGAATAATGTACATAACTTTTTAAATCACACATACAGCAACAGTACAGTTTCCACGGATAAACAGGTTGTGTCTGTGATGGCGGCTGTGTCATGGCTGCCGCCGCGATAAGAGAAGTCCAGTTACAACTACTGTATAAAATTAAGGATTTCACTTCGATAACTGTTGGAAATATTTGAGGTAAAGTAAGTACTCAACAACAAAAAAAATAGGTTTAGTTTGTTTTTAATTATTTTTGATATTTTAGTGTAAAAATAATATGGCTCCTTACCTTGTCCTTTCCCTGTTTCTCATCTTGATACACTTTCCATCGCTCTCCATCGTTACTGTACGCCACTTTGTATGAGCCAACAAACTGGACGTGGCCAAAGTCCTTAGCTCCCTGGGTGATTACGCCAGTGACCTTTGTAGGCACCAGCAAGTCCACCTAAAAAAAAGGAGAGGGACAGAGAAGAATAGAGTTTACTAAACATTTCATTTCTTAAGAAACTTGGTTTGTCAAAAGATTTCAGAGATGCAACATTTTCCCTAACTAGTCAGCATCTCTGTTTTTTCTACTGATGTCATCAGAGGATCTACGTATTAAGACACTGAGTGCAAAAAGTCAGTTTCAATAATTCACAGAAAATTGAACAGCAAGGCAAAGTCCACAACCTCGCCTCAGCAGAACAGAAATCGCATGCAGCAGCAGCTTGAGATGCAGACTGCTCCATTTGGGTTAATTTTTTATAGGTTCCAATTTGTTTCAAGCAATTTACAGCACAAGGGTGCTAGACAGTAAACACATAAACTGTTACTTCTATTGATGTTTTTGGATTCAATTATGCTTCATTATCTTACAAAAAAAGTACACAGCTCTGTATGGCTGAGGTTCGAAACGTGGTTGAGCTGTTTCCCCAAAATGCATTAAAACAAGAAATAGTACTCTAGCTCAATTACATTTACCTGATTCACTCTGTTTCAGAGAAAACACTTTGCCATTACTTGTAAAACAGGTCGAGCGTTTTCTAGGTAAGTTTTTGCACTGTGTTAATGATGTTAATGAATAATACATGAGAACAATCTAAAGTGGAAGCAAAAAGGAGGGCGTTGCTTACTTAAATGGGCCATACAGTGCAGCGCAGAAGTACAAGCCCCATTAAAATGGAACATAAAGGTTGTAAAAATAGTTCCGACTGATGTTTCCTGAGCATTAAGCAGTGGGTGTTGTGCAATATAAATGTTTATTCTATATAATATAGAATGAACAAAACAAACATCCATCTCTGAAGCCCATTAAGTCAACTGTTCATTGCTGTTATTTCTTAAGAAACTCCAAATTAACTCAACTATGTCAACACAATTATCATGTTTATTTTACTTTTTTTAAGTAGTATTTTTGTTTTATTCTAATGTCTTGAAGATATAAATATTTGATATATATGTGTGTGTGTTTATGTATACAGTATATGCATATACTTATATGTGTATGTGTACATATATATGTACGTTTTTCTTTTGAGTGTTTTTAATGCTTGACGTCATTGTAAATGAGGGCTATGCTCTCAATGATTTTCGAGTTTAAATAAAGACAGAAATATCGCGTACATCTACATACTAGCATCATATTGCATCAATACAGGATGGAAAACAAGGTGCAAGTTGGCATTTTGGTGTCATGAGAGAGAAAGTGGAAAACATTAAGGAGCACAAGCAGAACTAGAAAAAACCTTAGCATGCAGATTTATTTCTTCTGCTGAATATACACAACACAGAGACAACCATACATCACACTAATAGGCTTGGTCATAGGCCAACATACACAGTGTCACACCGCTCTGACAAAGGAAAATAGGGCCCTGTGTAGGTGAAACAAATAAGAAAACATGCATGAGTTACGACTGAGCATGAGTTACGACTGAGTTTCATTTCACTGCCTGATCTTCACAACACCACATCTCAGCACTTCGCACTGCACTGCAATATGTTACAAACACGGGAGCATTGATTCGCATGAGCTCACTTCCAGTTCTCATCTCTCATACGTTTTAAACATTACGCGAGAGCTTCTTTTTTTTCTCCTTGCGACAACAAGAATTAGGACTGCTCTCTCCTAACAGTAGATGTAGCCCCCTGCTGTGTACAAATTCAGGCCTGACCTGCAGTCCTTACACGCACAAAGTGAACTCACTGCTCTCTAAAAGGCATTCAAGAAGATAATCTCCCTGTTCTCCATTTGGGAGATGTTAAGCTAATGAAAGTAGGACACACTGCATTTAATTTTGCATGCTTATAAGAATAAAGAATCTTTGGTTACACATTATGCAATGATGTACATGTTTCAAAGTCGCATGCTACATTAAATGTGAATTCACATGTGAAAACAGACCAGCCCTGTTTGGTTTTGTTTCGTGAAAAGAAATGCTCCTGAGTGCAACCCAGAAAGTGCTGTCTGGGTGAAATATGAAATATGGGTGAATATTCCCCTGTTATATATATGAATACCTTTAAACAACAGCTCTTATAGCAGCCATAATGTCACCACCACCTGAGAGATAAAGAAGGCCACAAGAGAAACAGTGGCAGGGGCTGTTTGGTTGATTTAGAGGGGGATGGCACCTTGCATTGTGAGGCTGTGATTATGCTCCAGTCGCAGAATGTTGAGGCAATCTTGTTCTACCCAAGCAGTCAAGTCTGCCACGAAAACAAAGGCAGGCTTGAAGGGGAACCTGTAATTGCCGTCACAGGTAGCGGTCAAAAAAACACAACCGCCCCTAGCGACGCCGGCTCTCAACACTTTGATGGCCCAAACCGAATTAGGGAGCGAGATAAGCTTGTTAAAGCAAGGCCGCTCCCCGAGCCCCCGCCATTTGTTCTTGTCTTCCATCACACTCTCTCAACCCCGTTCCCTCCTTCATGAGCTGCTCACCCAGACGTACTAGGCGCGCGTGTGTGGAGTCTCTGTAGCAATCTCTGCATGCTCGTGGCATAGATGTTCCAAAGGAATAAAACATGAGAATCAATTTTAGGATTTTGCTGGCTGTGTCTGAGACTAAAAAATGAGATCCGTGCGGCTCCAATTCTAAGCTTCCAGTTTCCCCAACAATAAAGCTGCACATTGAAAAGAGAGAGGGTCAATTACTTATTTGTTCATCCCTTTGATGTCAGCAAGCGAGGGGGCAACATTTATGTACTTCTGCCAGACAAACATTTCGTCTGCTCTGCTCATTAAGACACGAGTTGGCATGTAAATCTCGTGTCCTTATTTGAAGTGGCTTTGCACATGTAGGATAAAGAGATTACTGCAGTGAGATTCAGCTTCATGAGGAGCTGAAGGAGGCTGTTTTCTTTTTTCATAAATACAGCATGTGCATGTATTGAATCCTGGTTCATTCTTCTCTAATTTTAATGTATGTGCTGAAGACTCATTTACTCTTCAAAGCATGTAGGATATATAAGTGTGTGTGTGTGTGTGTGTGTGTGTGTGTGTGTGTGTGATCTATACTCACTGTGCATTGTGGGAGGTCACAGTGGGTTTGAATTACATGCACAAAAAAAAAAAACAGCCATGAGGAGGACACTGCTAGGGCCCATCAACCTCACAACAGGGAAGCTATTATTAAAGCTTAAATCTACTCTTCTCTCGGCAGGAGGTCTTAAGAATACCTACAGCAGGTCATTATCCTGATCATATATTTAAACACCACAACATACCAGCAATATTTGCTGTATAAACTTCATGTGATAAATTTAGACAATATACCTGACATATCAACATCACACACGTTAGTGCTAAAATGGCCCCAGACTTCACTCGGGCTCCAGAGAGAGCATTTTAACATCTGAAATTTGAACTGTGTTGAATCTGCATTTTTGACCTTTATTTTTCAAATGTATCTGTGAGCAAGGCAGCCCATAATGACTGTTCCAAACCAAATTGACTGTCACATGATGCCATGTTGTTTTATAAAGGGGGGACATCTCAGCCTCTCAGTGTGTTTGGGGCCATAGAAGAGGTAACCTGACCAAACTGCTGTTTGCCTGAAATTTTCCACGAGGTATGAAATCACACCTCTGTGCCGCAGTAACCCATCTAGCGTAAAAAAAAGTCTCCAAAAGCTACCCCAAAATGACTAAAAAGTGAAGCATGATGGGTGGCAATTTCCAGACAGATGGCTCACTGAGTACAGCACTTCTCTACCGAGTGCAAAGAAAAGCCTGTTGTTTGTGTCATGACACCTTTCTGGGTTTAAAAATGTGTCTCTGCACACACAGGTGAGCTAACAAAACGTATTCTATGAGAGGAACCAAGTGTCTCCCTAAGCTTCAAATGCTGTTATGAGACTTATTGCACATTATCACAGAACAAGAAGTGTAAATGAAAAGATATGAAATAGGGTACAGCTTACTTACGTTCCGTAAAAGCAATTACATTTGCCCCAAAAAATATTAAATGAAAGTTGTGTTGATTTACTTTGGGCCTGCAGGGATTCATAGACTCTGCCTGGTGGACTAAGAAGGCCCTAATGACTAAATTAAAAGTAACGTCTACACATCTGGTTATACAAAGCTGCAAGTAAAAATGAAAAGGAGAAACGTTTCTTTAGTGCTTACAACGTGCTGAGGGCCAGATTTGAATATTTTCAAGATGGTACACCAACCTAAATACCTTCAGGCAGCCTGTAGGATGAGTCAGTGCTGAGCATGTTTTAGTAACACATGCTGAGCATGTTTTAGAGAAACTGTTCCAGGATGAGACACAAATACACAAGTGAACTCAAATGTCACATCTGATGATACAAACTATTTCTTTATAATCACAACTAATGACAAGGCAGAGATGTTTTACTTGTAATCATGCAAGATAAGATGTATGTGTGTGCCCTGGATTTTTAAGCATATTATAGTGAAAGAGAAGGTGCCCTTAATATGTACAAGATAATTATTTGTCTTTTAAGTTACACTTCTTTTTATGTTATCTTTGGAGGTGGTCTCTTCCTTCATGACTATCTTATCTCTCTCTCGCCCTTACTCAAGAATGCAAACACAAACACACAAATACTGTCAACTTAGTTTATTTTTCTTTTCTTTTTTCCTGTTGTAACTTACTATCCGGCATATTATAATCTTTTGTCATTCTGTGACAATCTGAGTTCTCAGTTGTTTTCATGTTGTGTAAAACTAAATATCAAAGTGAAGCAGTAACCAGTCAAAAAATGGCAATTAAGATACATTTTGAATCCTGCTTTTTATTTTTAGTACGGCTCTGATTGGACACACACTCACACAAACACACACAGCATAAACCTTTATGACATCTTCTGTGAGGAGTGTTTCGACATGAGGTGCTGGGATGTCAGAAGGTATAAATGTCAGCTGAGCATTCACACAGAGAAAGGACAGTGTACACACAGTCTGAAGAGTCATTTGGTTACATTAGAGGTATAG